AGAATTACTGTTAACTTTAAGCTAAATTAGTGAAAAAATGTTACATGTTGCAATCCTCTTTAATGTACATATTATATAATATAAAACTGATGTAAAATAAAAAAAACAATGTAAAATAAAATATTTTTCAAATTATGATTTGCTTTTTCTATTATAGCTTTTGGTTATTAGCCTGTAATAAATGCAACTTTCAGAAATAACAGAACTTTGAATTAATTCTAAGCAAAACTAAATGAAATATTAATTCACAAAAATATTTTATTTAGTTTTGCTTAGAATTAATTCACGGATCTGTTATTTCTGAGATTTGCATTTTTTACAGGCTAATAACCTAATTTAATTCCTAACCTAATAAGAATGTAATTATTCAATAACAAATCTAATAACAGTTTTATAACAACTATATTGCATGTTATTTGCATGATATATCTATTTTATATAACAGTTACGTGGCATTTTAGTACCGCGTTATATTTATGTGATAGAACTGCAACAAGCCTGTGAGTGGGAAATTACAACTAACAATTGTATTACATGTAACGTACATGTTACATTACATGTTACATTCTGTTTTATTGTTGCAATATAGTTGTTATATATCTATGTTTGCTGGGTTCATTTTGACAATCAGCCTTCTATATACTTGTGTTATAGATTTTCCTATTGGCCGGTCGAAAAAGGAAAAAAAGTACAACAAGCAACTATTTGATCTCGACCGATTCTACGGATCTTTCAAGAGGGGGAAAGTCTTTTGTTGGTAAACTCCAGTCGAATTTTCTGGGAACGCAATTCTCGGTCTACGACAATGGATGCTCGTTGATGAAGGATGATAAACGCGACGAGCGCTATAATAATCCGCGACAAGAATTGGCCACAGTGGTGTACGACACAAATGTTTTAGGTTTTAAGGGACCGTTTAAAACAACAGTCATTATACCAGGTATGACTCCTGATCAGAAACGAGTGGAGATATGCCGCGAGATGAATGTACCTTGCTTCGTACGTATACTTTAAATGTGAAAGTAATACACAAAAATGAAATTAGTAGATAAAATATATTTTAGAACTATGTTGAAGTACCTACGAAAATTTTCTGCAAAACAAAATATATGCTTTCTACTTATTGATTTAAAATTATATAATCACACAAATCACCAATAAAAATTGTTTAACTACGGAATACTATAATTAAAACGGAATACTATTATTAAAATTAAATTAAATTATGTTAAAATTATACGAGTAGCAATCCAGTAGCAAAATGATGAGATATTTACAATAAATATACATAATTTTTTATATAATTTTTCAGAACGCTGGAAATCGAAACATATGGACAGCTTAATAAAGTTACATAATAAGACTATAGTATGGATACACAGTCCTATGTGCTTAACTTCCATGGACGAGTAACTCAGGCATCTGTAAAAAATTTCTAAGTCGTCCATGACACCGATGGTAAGGCGAGATTTAATTTCTTATATAAAAATATATTTATATGATATAATTTCTAAGAAATTGTGTGAATTTGAAATTGTATATAAATTAATAGTGTGGCTAAAATATATATTAATGAGATTTAAATTAATTTCAGTGGATTATGTTGTAATGCAGTTCGGACATGTCGCGAAGGATGTGTTTACGATGGATTACAGATTTTCCCTTTGTTGTATAGTCCAGGCGTTCGCCATTGCTGTAAGTAGTTTCGATAGTAAATTAGCATGCGAATAACAACGTGGCCGAACGTCACCGATCGAACACTATCTAAAGTTAAGTATATACTTGCCTACAAATTATGTCATTCTAAATCGTTAGCTCTTTAACAATCAATAAGATCTGGTACCAGTCTCGACATGGTACTCGGCGTATCGAATTGTTTTATAATAATTCGATCACGATAAAACGTAACGAGAATTACTATAAATGTGTGTTCACTTTTCGTATTTCATAATAAATCTATTTTTATATTAAAGATATGCGAGATGACGACTTTTCAGCATATAAAAATGTTGAATTTGCATAAGAATCTTGATAATGCTGGCATTATACTCAAAATATCGCGCGTTATATTTTGGCCAATTTCATTATTTGAAGTTAATTATCGACATGAAGCAATCGTATTGCTCGTTCGTCATATCGTAAAAATGATATAAATTCCTTGGCCAGTAATTCGGAATATACGCAGTATACATTTGAACACATTTGAAGTATTTTCATAAATATAATTCATAAACACAGGGTGTTTATAAATGATGAATCATAAGTATATGATTTTACAGTGCCTTTGTACATGATATTTATTGTGCATAAAAAAATTATATTTGTCAGTTTTTTTGTCGACAAATAGCAAAAATAGAACACAAGTTTTGTGGAAAAAATAATTTTGTTAAAAATTAATAAGAAAAATATTTAAACATTTTATTTAATAATCCATGCATTTTTACATACTCTCTTTCATAATTTTAATTTTTTATTTATATAATATTTAATAATAATCTTCTAATTATCTAATCCGAATAAGATCATGTATATAATTACATATCTTTTCGTTTTATTGCCATGTGGAGATTCACAATTTTCATTATTACTATAAAATTTTGAAAATGTCATAAATATACGAAGCACAAAGCACACTATTACTCATAAATATATTGAGCACATCTTCACACTTGAATTTTTTCTGATAACAAATCTATTCAGTATTATAAAAGTATTGACTTTTTTATTAATACTAAAGATACCGAAAATTATATCGAATATTCATATATTAATTATTTATTATTTTGCATTATGCACAAGTAACAATCGATGATTACTTTTAAACCAAATTACAACGTAACTTGAAAAGCAATTTAAGATGCACCTACGGTTAGTTACATGTTCGCGTTATTTCTATGTGTTGTGTATACTGTGTTTAGGCGGAAGTTTATAAGAAAACGACCAAAGTATTTTTACCGAATTTTTCACACGATCTTTTGTAAGCACACGACAGTTATTTAAGTGTATTGTCGGACGATTAAACAATATTCGAGAACAGAGCCGTTGTTCAATCGTCCGATTATCACGGTAGCTTTTAACCCAGTAATATTTGGCGGTTAATAGAATTTATATTTACTGCAATAATATCTTAAATAAGTACCTGTATTATATAGCGGATATTAATTGTCCTAAGTTATATACCGTAATCATTCTATTTGTTATACATTATTCATATTAAGAACTTTTTTATATTCTCGTAATTATTGTAAGTGTACTTATAATTTTCGCACTTTATTAATTCCACAGTTGATTTGCGTGGATATAGTCGCAAATATTTCGTGAACGCATCGATTACGCATAACACATATTTACATTCTTTGTTTGTCTTTTCGAACGGGCCTAGATGATCGATATGTAACGTATCGAACGGCACATTTCCTTTTGGCACGCTATGTAATAATCCCTCTGATCTTCTGCTTCTCGGTGCAAATTCTATACAATTTAAATAATTCGCGATATATTCTTTAACTTTCGATCTTATATTAGGAAACCAATATACTCGTTGGATGCTTTCGATTACTCGATCTAATCCGATGTGTCCGAGTTCATCGTGACACGTACGAATTACGTTATTTTCCATACTTTCCGGAACGTAAAATAATAACTTTTTATCTTTTGTTTTACAATAAACTAGCCCGTCTTGCATTTCAAAGAATTTATCCTCTGATGTTTCAAGGTTTTCTCGTATTTTTCTAATGTTTTTGTCGCGATCCTGACAAATCGATAAGGTATGCTCGAAAGAATTTGCTTCTAATATGTGAATTTCATAACATCGACTTAACGCGTCTACATGACTCATTCGATTTTCCGGACGATGTTGAATTTCATAATTGTATTTCTGCAAAAACATTGCCTATCTCGATATTCGCGGATTAACCGTTTTCTTACTAAGCGTTAGCCTAAAACTATCACAATCTGTAATTATCCGAAATTTAATCCCCGATAAATACGTATGAAATCGTCTGATAGCATATACGACAGCCAAACATTCGAGTTCGAAACTATGATACTTTGCTTTCGTTAGTGTTATGCGTTGACTGAATTAAGAAACTGGATGATATTTCTCATCGAGTTGTCTTTGCAATAGTATTGCATCAAATCCATTTGCTACTAGTGTCGCAATGGAGTTCTGTCTCTAATTCGGGTGAGAAAATTGCTAACACTGGTCGTGACAACAAATAGTTTTTCAATGTTTCGAATGCATAATTTTCTTCTGGACCAAATCGAAAATCAGCTGTTTTTTTAATCTGTCGTATAATGGTTTCGCAATGACAGAAAAGCTCGGTATAAACCTACAAAAGTAACTCGCTAAACAAACAAATCGATGAAGGCTTTTCGTTGTCTGTGGTAACGGATAATCTAATACGGATGCAATATTCTTCTCACTCGGTCGTATTCCATCCTTATCAATCCGATAATCTAAGTCAGCGCTCGGAATTAGTTGCACATTTCGAGCCGATTTCCGAGACGACGCCTCCTGTTCCCCCACTACCGCCCGGCTGCTGGCGGCCGAGCCGCCGATAGCTCTGGCGCAGGAGCGTTTTATATAAGAAATAAGCTGGTTGTTGAGGTACCTTTCAGAAAATAGTAATATTTTCTTTATTACATAAATAATGTTTATTTTCATTAATAATTAAATATATATATTATGTATTAATAAAAATAAACATTATTTATGTAATGAAGAAAATGTTACGATTTCCTGAAAGATGCCTAAACAATCCAGCCTATTTCTAATATAAAACGCTCCTGAGCCAGAGCTATCGGCGGTTCGGGCTCCAGCGGCCGGGCGGTAGTGGGGGAACAGGAGGCGTCGTCTCGGAAATCGGCCCGAAATGTGCAACTAATTCCGAGCGCTGATCTAAGTAAATAATTTCGTCACATAATATTTTACATTTGTCAAATCGAAATTCCAGACCGTATTGTCTTGCGACCACGAATACATCACATAAAATTTCTAAGTGTTCTTCGATCGTTTCAGTGGCTACTAATACATCATCTAAATATATCTAAATATATCTAAATATATTAACAATATATTTATTCTGACGCATCAAGTCAGAGAATGCTTCGTTGACAAATCTCTGGAACACGCGAGGCATTGTTATGCCTTCGTTGTATGCATTCGTTAAACCGAATGGCATACGTAAAAATTCATACTGTTCCAGAGGGGTAACGAAAGATGTATACTTTACCGACGATTCGGCCATTTTTATGTGATAAAATCCATCTTTTAAATCGAATGTAGAGAAATAGCATTTATTACGCAAACGATCCAAATTATCGTCAATTAACTGAGTCGAAAAGTTATCTTCTACCGTTATTTTATTTAATTTTCGGAAATCAACGCAAAGTCGGATTTCTCCTGTTTTTTTTCGTATAAGGACAATCAGATTCGCATAAGGTGATTTACTTGGACGTATTATATGCACGTTTACTCAGATCGTTCAACATATTCTGCAATTTTTGCTTTTCAGCATATGATAGTCTTCTAGGACGGAATCGGATAGACTGCTCATACGTTAAGGAAATTGTCATTTCGAAATTCGTATCAATCTTATCCGTTCTCCATTTACTACCATATTCTTCTTTGAACAAGTTGTTAACTTTAAACACAAATAACACATATAATAGGATTGTTAACTTTAGTTATAATATGCGGATCAAGGTGGGGGTTTACATATAAAAATTTGTTAACCTTTTCCGGATAATCGAGATATTTAATCGCCATCAATTCCTGTGTGTGCGTTAATGATTGACATGCTGAGCTCTCTTTGATTTTTTTCGCTCTGATTTCAACGTGTTCGCCCAATGTAACCGTTATTGCTGGATTTTTAAGAAAGTCGCGACCTAACAATATTTTGGAACTCATCGTTTCATCCGGTACGATGAAAAACAATATGTTTGTTTCGATACCCTCAATTAACATTACCGTTTCAAACTGACCTATGATTTGCAATTTCGATTTGTTTAAACTGACGAACGGAGATTTGGTGTCGGTCACGGATTTATATGGATTTTTAGGCGCGTATGTTTTGCGTATGATACTAATCGGTGATCCAAAGTCAATAATTGCGTCAAGTATGTATCTATATTCACTGCCGTCGGTCTGTTTTATGCACAGTGTTACCGGAATATTATACGGCGTTGACAATGATCCGACCTCCAATAAATTAATGGATGATGCAGGTCCATCGACCACCGTTCTCTTGATTTCCGTTGCTCTCCTGAGTGGCTCCGTCGTTTCCCTTCGCGATTCTGTTGCCCTTTTCAGCGGCTCCGCTGCCTCCATCACCCTATTTGTCTCTCTCAACTGCCTGGGCTCCCCTGCATTGCCTCGCAATATGTCCAACGGCGTGACAATTATAACATCTCGGTGGTCGGTGCCGTTCCGGAGATGTTAACTTTTCTCCCGAAATGCCTGCGACATCCGGCGGTTTTCCTCATTGCTTCACCCTTCCTCGATTTTCCGCGTTCTAGCCTAATATTCTCGAAACATATTCTTAATGACTCTTGAACATATTCTTAATGACTCGTGTAAACTTACCGAAGTTTAAGAATATTTGTCCTGGAGATTAAAAATCTTTTAATGACACATGTTTGTCATTAATGTGATCTTTTAAACATGTATCTGTCGAAACACTTATGTTTTTGTTACAAATGTCGCACTGTATCTTAAAATCACCTTTTTGTGTCCAATATTTCCGCGACCAATCTTTATATTTATAATTATTTCTTTGTTTTATAGTATGCGAACTCAAGTGATTTTTTGCATCCGTAGACAGAACTTTTGCATCACAAATAATGCATTGTAAAAATGTGTTATCAAAATATTTGAAATATAGCTTTATAAATTTTCCTAATTTTATATTGGTCTCATATATAAAAATGTTTTCATGACATGAATTTATATGCTTTTTTGCATTACTCAATGTCACATAATTCTAATTCTTGTAACACAATTTACAAGTAGTCCTAAAATCGGGCAATTTTTTATAATAGTTCCATATTATATTTCGTTTTTTAATATTATTTTTTTGCGTATTTTTTAATTTATTTGAATGTTTGTTTTTTATATAAACGTCTAAATATTTTTCAATTGAGACACTGAAATTTTTGTCACATTCTGTACATTTTATTTTGAAATTCTTTTTTTGTATCATGTATTTTCTTGGTCACGTTAACTTTTTCCTTTCTTCTTTTTTGTCTTCTTCCTTTTCGAAAATTTTCAAATGCCATAATTTTACATGTACCTTAAAATTTGTACATGTT